TGTAAATGATTTTTATTTTTCATGCATTCACCTGGGAATACTCTGAAGTTAGGGAAGAAAAGGCACGCCTTCCACCACTGCAGGGAGAAAGGGTAAAAGCCTTGCAGGACGGCGATGTGCAACCTACATACAAAACGTGCCCTGTACGTGCCCTGGAGGCTGTGCCCTATGCGGGGGTCCCACAGTGACTGCCCTGGAGGCTGTGCCCTATGCGGGGGTCCCACAGTGTCTGCCCTGAAGGCTGTGCCCTATGTGGGGGGGTGTCCCTCAGTGTCTGCCCTGGAGGGCTGTCCCCTATATGGGGGGGTCCCTCAGTGTCTGCCCTGGAGGCTGTGCCCTATGGGGGGGTCCCTCAGTGTCTGCCCTGGAGGCTGTGCCCTATGGGGGGGGGTCCCTCAGTGTCTGCCCTGGAAGCTGTGCCCTGTAAGAGGGGAGCCCCAGTGCCTTCTGGGGAGAGGTGCATCCCATGGGGGGTGCCCTGTATCTCCTAGGGAGAGATGTGCCCTATAGAGGTGCCCCAGTGTCTTCTGGGGAGAGGAATGCCCTACAGGGGATGCCCTGTATCTCCTGGGGAGTGGTCTGCCCAATGAGGGGTGCCCCGTGTCTCTGGGGGAGAAGTGTGGCCTGCAGGGGGTGCCCCATACCCCCTGGGGAGAGGTGTACCCTAACTCCTGGGGAGAGGTGTGCCCTCTGGGGGTGCCACGTGCCTCCTGGGGAGAGATGCGCCCTGCAGGGGGTGCTGGGGCCCAGGCTTGTGCTTGGGGTCTCCCACATGCCCCTGCTCTGTTACTCACTGGCCTGGGGCATGCTCTAGCCATAGCATCGTGGCCTGTCCTTGGACCCTCTCTGGGTACCTATGTTTGTATTCTCCCTCTCCATACACTTCTGGGAGGCATTGATCAGAAATGCAAGAGACAGGCCGGGTGTGGTGGCTCACGCCTGTAAACCCAGCACTTTGGGAGGCCGAGGCAGGCAAATCACTTGAGGTCAGGAGTTTGAGCCCAGCCTGGCCAACATGGGAAAACCCTGTCTCTACCAAAAATACAAAAATTAGCAGCCAGGTGTGGTGGTGCATGCTGGTAATCCCAGCCACTCAGGAGGCTGAGGCATGAGAATCGCTTGAACCTGGGAGGAGAAGATTGCAGTGAGCTGAGATGGCACCACCGCACTCCAGCCTGGGTGACAGCTGAGCGAGACTGCCTCAAAAAACAAACAAACAAAAACACAGAAGTACAAGAGAGAAACTTCCACGCTCATCTGGGATCCGCTTCTGAGTGGAAAAGCACTGTCCGAGAAGGAGAGGCGAGGCTGGGTCTAAACCACCACAAAGAGCCAGGAAACAGGGAAGTCCACGGGGACCACGAGCATTAAAACTCTCCTAAAAGATCCTATTTACCCAACATTAATAATTTAAGTTATATTTTAAAAATGATTCCCTTTTCAATTATAAAACTCTATTCAAATTCACTGATGATTTAATGACACTAATTAGATTTTGTGTTCAAGAAATCTGTCTGACAAACACCACTGCCAAATGTCACTAACAATATGATGGCTTATAAAGAGTTTAAATCATCCAAACAAAAGCCTCCCAAAGTAATGAAACCACTATGTAGTTCAAACGGCTTTTATAACCTCTATTTCAATGAAGAAATAAATGATTAAAATGCAAAGAGAAAGGCAACCTTGAACTTCTTTCTGTGCTTTTGAGACCCTGGCCCAGAGACTGGCTCCAGAGCCATGGTTCTGGGGTCTCCAGCCATCTTTCAGAGGGTCTGCCACTGGGGGTGGTGGGGTGGGCTCTCCCAGGGACCCCTCCAGGAATGAGGAGCATGGCCTGAAGGCCCGGCCTGTAGGAGCGACGTGAGGACTGGGATCAGGGTGCTTTCTTCCAAGCAGTGAAGCCAGCTCCTGGGGCACCAGGAGAGGAGAGGCAGAGGGGTTCTGGAGGTGGGACCTGGCCTCGCCCTGAGGTGGCAGCACTGACCCCAACTCAAGTGTCTTCTTTATTTCTTTTGGCCTCCTAGGACTCCCGTGAGGAGCCCCGGTCAAACACACAGGGCTTAGGCTTACTTCTCAGCTTCTCATCTATGTCTTCTTCTTGTAAAAGCTACACATGCAACCAGCATGGAATGAGACATCAACAATCCCATCTCCTTAACCTCACTCTGCACTGACACCCGTGGCAGCTTTGGGGTGGTCTCCTAATAATGCGCTGTGAACGCTGCAGCTGGATCAACGGCGAGGACTACAGGGCTCACCAGGGCGCAGTGACAACAGGAAAAATGGAATTCAGCAGGAGCCCCCGAGGCCATCCTCAGCCAGGAACTGTGTTGGGCTGCAGGAATGCAGCGAAGCTGGAGTGAGCCGGCGGTCCTCATGTCCCCCAGGCAGGCGGGACCAGTGGCCGACGGGGGCTTCTGAGAGGTACAGGGCAGTGCCTGGGTCAAGACTGCTGTTGGGGAGTCCTCAGGCTTGACATGGGGTCGCCAATGTGCAGAATACAAAGGAGCTACGATACTCATCTTAAAAAATTACTTCTAGGAGTCATAGAATGTGAGCCTATGGCGCAAAAACAAAATAACACGAGTGGCCTCTTGAGGGCTGCTCTCGGCCGGTCACGGAAAGGCCGGTGAGCTGAAGCCCTGGGCGGGATGCAGAGATTGCCTGCAGTGACTCCCCCTGACCCGCGCCTTCTGCCTGGCACGCGCCTGTTTCCTGCAGCCAGCTTGAAAACTCTTCTTGAAAACTCTTCTCCCAGGCTTGAAAAACAGCAGCCAGTTGCAGTTGCCCATGGTCAGGGCTGTGAGGGAGGCAAGCCTGGCCTGTCCACAGCACAGAGCGGCGCCATCAGTAAAGTGAAGACTGAGTCCTCTCTGTGTTCCGCCTGCCGGGAATGTTGGGATCACAGGGATCCCGAAGCGTGTGGTGCCTGTGGAGCTCTCAACTGCTCCACCCTAAACTCGAGTGGGCTTGTTAAAGTGGACAGGGTCCCAGTGGAGGCTGGGGGGCCAATCTCCACAGGGACAAGTGATGTGTTTGTTACACATGGCTGCTAGGTTGCTCTGAATTCTGAAGACAAAAACGATAAAGCATGGACTGAAAGAGCTCAGGAAAGTGTCCTCTCCTTGGTTTGTCGAACACTGACATTAGCAGGCCAGTGCGTCGGGAAAAAGCAGCAGCAACAACTCCCAAGCCAACAAATGTCAAGGCAATGGTGCAAAGTCCAAAGACCCAGAGCCCCCAAGCAGCCCCTCAGGGTTCAGCCAGAAACCTCCCAGCCCCTGTTCCCTCAAGGCCAGAGGGGGCCGAGGACAGAGCTCTCAGGGCTCATCTTTGAAGCACAGGCACTCACAGAATGGTTTGGCACCCATGAGAGGGGACACGGAGCTGTCCCTGAGCCTGTCCTCCAGGGCCAGCCCAGCTTTGGGATGCAGCCTCCCCTGCAATCTGCCACTAAGTCTACAGACAACTGATACTACTTTACTTCCATTTCTCAACAGTGATTATGAAATAAAGACACTGAACAAAGTGTCTTACATATAAAGGAAGGGAAACTGGGATCCTGTGGTCAAGAGAATTACCAGCTAGGGCAGAAACAGAAGGACGCACCCCTAAGCTTCTCTGCATACTAGGTGGACACAGTAATATCTGCATGTGGGCTAACGCCAGGTAGCCAAGACCTCAGCTGAACAACTTCTACCCACGGACCACGTGAGCATCTCAGAAGCACCAGGTAGCATATGGTCATAGGCTTTTGATGCTCTACATCTGTGCTGTCCAACAGGTGCCATGAACCATGTGTGGCTCAAAATGCAGCTGGCCCAAATGGAGACATGCTCTGTGTCTAGGCCCCAGTGACTTGCCAAGACTTAGCAAGAACAACAACGGCAGCCGTGTTGGTGGCGGCCTGCCACTTCCCAGATCAGGCCATGAGAGACCCTGTGGCTTCCATGTTGGCCAGGTTTCCTCTCGGGTTGCTCCCTCTGGGAAGCCGGCTGCTATGCTGTGAGCAGCCCTGTGGACGAGGACCTCAGGCTTCTTGCCTGCGGCCATGTGAGCGAGCCTGAATGGAGCTCCTCCCGCCTCAGTCCAGTCAGCCCTGCAGATGAGACCATAGCCCTGTCTGACATCTTAACAGCAACATAATGGGAAACCCCAGCAGCTAAGCTGCTCTAGGATTCCTGACCCACAGAGCAAGATAACGCAAGCTTGCTATTTTAAACTGCTAAGTGTTGGAGTAATTTTATTACACAGATATACATGACTTAATCTGGTTTTGTGGGATTTTTCACTTTGTTTAATGTGACCACTAGGATATTTAAAATTACTGGTGGAATTTTAATATACTCATGTATATTTCTATTAGACAGTGTTGCTCTAAATGGTTTTAAATGCAGTGACAGCATATTATAATCACAGATATCATAACTAGCCTGCCAACTACATAATATAACTTTGCTACATATCACTAGTACATATTTCCAATTGATTTAATTTTAAAACATGGTATCAGATTAAATATTCGTAGAGAGTAAGTACCAAAAAAGTCTTTGTTTTTTCCTTACTGTATTTAAATTAAAATAAAATATTATCTTTTTCTAGTTATAAAAGGTTAGTAGAGAAAACAGAAAATATAGAGAAGTCCTAAGAAAAAAAAAACACACAGATTTGTCAATCCAGCTCCCAGCAACGATCATTAAGGTTCTGGTGCTTCTTCCCTTTGGTAGGTTTTCTATTTCTGGGCACGTTTCAGATGAAATTAGGTGATAAGCATTTTTCCTATTTGGAATATGCTTCCACACAATGACCTGAGACCGCCGTTCCCACTCAGCACCACATCCCGTGTAATACACGGAAGTGCTGCCTGCGGTCTGTCGCCTCCTGCAGGAACCTCGCTTCACGCCTGGGGCCCCGGCACAGAGACAGAGGCCTGGAGCCACGGGAGTTCAGGGTGCCGGAGGCCTGGCCCACCCGCACCCACGCGTGCCGCGCCTCACCTTGATGTGCTCGTGGAGCTGCGCCTCGTGCTGCCGGGAGAGCTGCTCGTGCTGCCTCTGGAACTCGGCGATGAGGATCTGCCTCTGGATCTGCTGCTTCTGCTTGAGCGCCAGGAGCTCCTGCTGTAGCTGCTGCTCCCGCAGGGCGGGCTCTGCCACAGGCAGCGAGAACTGGTGGTCCAGGCGCAGGTCCATGGGCACTGCCGAGGGGGCCACTTGTAGAGGCAGCGCCGTGGCCACATCCACTGTGAGAAGAACAAGCAGGAGAGCCGGTCACTGCCACCCTCAGCCGTCCCCGGACCCCAGAGCCCCTGACCAACACACTAGCCACCTTCACGGGGGGGCCTGTGGACATTTGAGGATTAGATACCCCTCCACCCCTTTCCCCCTCTGGCCCAACAAACTCAAAATGCAAGACTCAGAGGCCTCTGGGGCCCATTCCTCAAGGACCAAAACCACAAAAGCCTCTGGAAGGTCAGACCAGGACACACTCCACAATCCCTGTTCCTTCTTCCACCCTCTCCGGGAGGCTGGCTCTCAGAGGACCCCGCTACAGGCCCGGAGGCCTTGCTGACGTCATTTCTAGAAGTCAGTAACGAGAAAAATAAAGAAAAAGGTTCTGGCTGGCCAAGGAAAAGAGCGGGTGCCAGCCCTCAGCTAGGAAGACTGCCTGCTCTGCTCCTCTTCCTCCTCTCCTATCGAAGCCACTGCGCTGCTCTGTGAGAGCCACAAGAACAGTGTGTGCCCCAGAAGTGGTCCAGACAGACGCTCGAGACCCGGAGCCCGTTTCCATGGCGAGACAAGTGCCCCCTTGGAAAACATGTTTACCAGACACAGCCAACGAGACGTGCTCCTGGCTCTTGGCACAAATGCGTTCCTCTGGGCATGCGTTTCTGCACCTCGCAAAGAAATGGATTTTCTGCCCTGTACTAATGTGCTATTGAGAAAAGGCTACAAGTAATTTTGATGAGGAACAGAAGCTGAATCAATTTCATCACTTACAAATCAATACCAAATGAAAGTGAGAAAAGTAACACAGGAAGAAGGGTAGGTTTAAATTACAATTATCACAAACAGCCCTACGTGCGTACCCCTTTTACAGCAGGTACCTATTCTGAAAGCATGCAATGCGTGCGGGCACTCGCTCTGAGCCAGCACTGCTCCTGGCACAGCCCAGGGACATCCTAGTGTCACTTCGCAGACATGTGGCTCTGCCGAAAACTTCACTGAGAGTTAAGTGAGAGCCCAGCCTGCCTGCTCCCCTCCCATAGGCCCACCCCTCAGGGCTCCCCATAACCAACATTCATGTGACCTGGGCCAAGTGGAAAGTTGGGGCCTTGCCCTCTAGGAGGGTCTCAAGCTCAGAGGGGTGTCTGAGCCAACAAGAGGTCTGCTGAGAAAAGAGCTCCTCGCCCCTCAGGGTCAGCACCTTTGGGCGTGACCTTGTCCGGGTGCCTCCCTGACAGCAGCCCACCCACACTCACCCTGACACTCAGCCTGTCCCTGGACTGGCCTAAGACCAGGTCTTGTCTGTAACTCAGTTCCTAGGAAAACCTGCACTCCACAGTCTCAAAGCCACCGATTTGGGTGAAACAGCCCATAGGTGGCAGCTGCCCCTCAGTGCAAAGCATTTCCACAGTCACTGCCCAGGCAGCAGGTCCCACACTGTCTTTGTCTCCAAACCACTGGAGGTCCTGGTCCCAGGACTCAGCCTTCTCCTGAGAAAAGGGTGGGAAATGCTCTGGGGGAGGCCTGGGCACTGGCCGGAGCTTGGGGTTCTGATCCCCTGGGCTGCCGCTTAGCCACGGAAGCTGCAGTCACCTGAGCTCCTGGTGCAACCCCCAACTTTTAAAATGCATGTATTTAGTTTTTAATTGGGTGTCAACTTTGACACAGTAAAAGGTTTTCATTTGCTATTATGTGAGAAGAATCTACACACATAAACTGTGTGTTCTACGTGCAGCAGGGA